CCTGCCATATTAATTATAGGAAAACATATACAGGTAGCATTTTATTCAAATCCTTCAATAAGGATTACAGTTACTTTAGTGCTTTAGACAAAGACCGCATTGTCTGAATTTTCACATCATATTAAGCCATAATGCGGATGGGTTTTTTTTTTTTAATTTTTATTTTGACTTAGCTCTTTCTGTGAATCCTGCCAATGTGACTTATAAACCATGGGTTTTGGTTTAGCATAGACTGTGATCCCAGCCAATTATAGTTTATTCACCAGGCCACAATGTTTTTTAAAAAAATTTTTATTATATTTTCAAAAAGAGTTAAAATACAGAAATCAAGAAAAGGAAAAAAAAAAGGAAAAAAGAAAAGGAAAAAAAAGGATATAGAAAAGAAAGAGTAGCTTCCGACCTTCCTTGGTACAGGTATAAATGTAAAATATATTCGCCTCTTATTCTAATATCCAAAAGTTTACATAATAAAATATGGTTTTTAATCTAATATCCAAAAAAGTCCTAAAATCAATCTATTTCATATATATATACATACATACATACATACATACATACGCGTGCACACACACACATATATATATTGTACAAAATATTTCTATAACATCAATTATTCATCGAATCCCAAGATCAAAATTCACCAGTCCACAGTTAAGCACACCATGATAGAGTGAGATGTAAACTCAGTCAATGAATGGTTGATCATGCTGAGCAGATTTGACAACATGTCTCTACTGCCCCAGAGGGCAGGACCAGAACCAATGGATTAAAATTACAAGGAAGGTTCAGGCTAGATATCAGAAGGAACTTCCTGACTGTATGAGTTGTCAGCTAGTGGGACAGGCTGCCTCGTGAAAGGGTGAGGTCTCTTTTGCTAGAGGTCTTCAAACAGGCTGGATGGACATCTGTCAGAGATACTGTAGGGGGTCTTGCGTTAACAGGGAATTCTCAGATCTCTTCTATTATTCTATCAATCTATGAACATTTAAATGTTTAATATTCTATTTATATTCAGTGTAATTAGATACAATTCAGTAGATTAAGTTAATATTCTACATTTTAGAAATTACTCTTCAGCAAGGCCAGATCAAAAAGCATAAGGATCCCAGGATGAGTTATATCTTCCCCCTCACTGTCTCCTGATCTATTGGATGGTGCTATCATCCCCCCCCCCCAAAAATGGACACTCCTAGCTTGCCTTCATTCTAACTGAGCCCATGTTGCCAAACTTTCTCCTGCAATTCCATCTCTTTTATGGACTAGAAGTATCAAGTATTTCATAATTTAGCAACCTAATTGCTTGACATGTTTTGATCACCCAAAATGTATTCTGCTTGGAATCCTTAGAGTAGGTGACATACAAATGCATGTACGTGACTAAACGTTAATAATCTAGGCTTGTTTTGAACTTGAGCTGTGATTTCTAGCCACTTCATTGCTTGTCCCCTCACCTAGAAAACAGCCAAATGCTCTATATTTACTGTCAGCAAATGTAGAGTGGTTATGAATTTACTATGAACACAAGAACCACTTGTGACAGGAATGTAAGGGTGGAGCCAGAGTGCCTTGTGCAGTTGCCAAAGCGGGCATTTATAGAGCCAAAACTTCACGTGCCTTTTTTTTACCCCTCTTGAATGTCGGACTGTGGAAGTTGTTTTCAAGGTAAGCAAGTTCAGGTTGGTGCAGCAGGCTGTAATCAATGTGATCAGAACAGAATCAAGAGGTGGTCTTTTCCATTTGAGAAAACAAGTAGGCAGTACAATATATCTGCAAAACCTATGATTATGTGTAAGGATAAGGTGAAACATTTTTGTCTAGAATATGGGAACATAGGAAAGATTGTTCTATGTTTTTAATTTCTATTAAAAATACGTAAGGGTTGGAGTACATGTCTAACCTAGAAATACCAATTTCTGTTCTACCCTGGGAGCTATTCTGTTTCATCCTTGGGGTTTCTCCATAGTTAGTGCAGAAGGAAATATATTCTACCATATATATCTTCTTATTTATTGGAAGTGTTTTTTTAATTTGAATGTCACCCAGAGCACTATTGTTATTATGAGTGGAATGAATGAATAGAAAGAGATAGATGATGATAGAGACAGAGACAGAGACAGAGACAGAGACAGAGACAGAGACAGAGACAGAGACAGAG